GAAACCAAAAATGAAACTTTTTTTATGACTGATAACTGCAGAGGATTTTTGAATATAGGGTAAAAAACGGTATGATGGCAGAACACATCTTCAGTTTCATATACTAAGAGAATATGCCATATGCCTATTTTTTGTATCATCTTTTCTGACTCATCAACCGAAAATGAATTGAGTGATTGTTCGCACAGCTTTCTTTTTTCCCGAATTAGAAAAAATCCATGTTTCTACGAGCACATAAACTTACCATCAAGGGTTGCTGCAAGAGATGACAAGTTCATAACGCCTGATGAAGTGGAGGCTGAAATGATAGTGAATTTCAATATCGATTCACGACTGTGTTTGAGTTCGCTTCAAAAGCACTCACTACAAATGAATAAGCTAAAATTGCAATTGATAAACTTGTTTCACTCACAAGGCGCCGCAGTAGGGGTACAGCTCTCCATCGCATTAGAAGCATCCACGTCCATACGTTCCAATACCTAGAATGAAGGGATGATACTCAAAAAGTATTGAAGACAGTCAGAAATAAGCTAGTAAATACCACTGTACTGGTGATTCGTATGCAGTTAGCTGCATCTTCAAATGTATAATCTAGGCTTAACCGCAAAAACTGTTTCTGCGAAAGACACAAAAATTATGATATCTTAAAATTCATATTAACATGATTAAATCACTACATCTGTGATGCTTCCTCGAGAATGGCCATGGCATGATGGATTTCCGTGCTTTCTTAAAATTATTTGCTCATCTAAGACATTATCTAATACTAGTATTTCAATGCTATGTTTAGATTTGCAAAAATCACTTTAGCATGCTAAACCCAATACGGCGATACCAACGATACAAGCAAAGTATATAAAGTAGAGACAGGTAAGATACTCGCTACATGGATGCTAATGCCATCTGAACTGAAGCAGTAGTTTTAACTAGCTTTCAGGTAAAAAAATGGCGAAGCAAAAGGATAATTAACAAAGACTTTTGGAAGGCCTACTGAGAAGGAATACCAGTGATGTATAATTTCTGCGAATAAGCGCGCATGGTGCATGACTGCACGTGCAAACAATCTGTTCTACTCGACTATACGGCAGATTTCTTGATATGCTAAGTTGCTGACTGTTTTGTAATTATCAGAACAGAATGCTACTAAGTACTTACATCTTCTTGAGAGAGCCCCGCATGAAATGCTGTTGGGTCTTGCTCCATCCCTCCTTTATTCTGCGTTACGATGGTATTCGACTGAGTTGTGTTCAAGCTATGCTCCTCACTGCATGGTCTGACAACCGCTAACGATCTTCTAGAGAGACGTCTCTCAACAGCAGCCTGTTCTGCGCGTCGCTTAGCTGCAGCCCGTTCTGCCCTTTCACGCAGCTAGCAAATATCCTTCATTTATACCTAAGTTCTAGGAACACTTTTGATTAAATTACCTCATATCTACGAATGTCGTACTCAACTTCAGCTTTCAGTTGTTCATCGCCATCCAAAAATTCATCGATTTGCTCCTTATGTTGGCGGCAAATAACGCTAACAAAATCAAAGTAACAAATCACAAGTTCCAAAATACTACCGAAACTTACCGGAAAATAGCATAAAGCTCCTTTCGCAATCCTGAACGTCGCTCATTAAG